ATCTTAAGGGGAATGCTTTCAGATATGCTTCTACATATCGCTGTTAGGTTGCTTTGCCGGGATATATATATATGTACACACATTTTTTTTTTTTTTGTTTTTTTTTTTTTTTTTGTTTTTTTTGTTTTTTTGTTTTTTGTTTTTTTGTTGTTTCGGTCCCTGCCAGCGTTTCGTGTACCCAAGGCGTTTTCTGATTGTTTTCAAGTGTAAGGTTTTCGTATTGTTTTCCATTGTAAGGTTTTTATTGTTTTCCATTGTAAGGTTTCTGATTGTTTTCCATTGTAAGATTTGCTGATTGTTTTCCAATGTAAGGTTTTCTTATTGCTTTCCATTGTAATGTTTCTGATCGCTTTTTGATTGTACTCGTTCTTATTATTCTTGATTGTCTGGATTTCTTATTGTTTTTGGGTGTACGGTTTTCCTAGTGTTTTTTTTTGCAAACGTTCTTGCAATAGCATATGGTCAACATCTACATCAACATATGAACGGACTTCTTCGTTTAAAGCCCTCGGGCTTGCATTTGTGAAGATGGGGTCCCCGTGTGGGGGGGGGGGGGGGGGTACCATATATATATATATATATATATATATAGATATGTATGTGTATATGTATGTGTATACGCATATGTCCAGATATGTCTATGCCTGTAAGTCGGTCTGTGTATATGTATTACCGTATGTATACGTATATGTATATGTATACGTACATGTACATGTATATGTAGATGTATATGTTCACGTATCTGTATATGTATATGCACATGTGTATGCTTGTGTTCGTTCGCACGTACATGTTTACGCATGTGTATATGTTTGTATATGTATGTATACGTGTATGTTTATATATATATATATATATATATATGTATAGGTGGATGCATATGCGCACCTGTACATGCATATTCATCCATATATGTGTACATATATGTACACTCGTACAAGTACATGAATTAACACATGTATATGCATATGTATGTGTATAGGTTCATGTATATGCATAACTATATATATATATATATATATATATATATATATATATCGTAGCAGTAAACATTTATGTGCTGATATAACGGTGGAACGATAATTCGAGATAGAGAGAGTTATAATGATATAGAGAACAATACCATACACCGAACGATACAGTAAAATACAACAACAGAGAGAGAGAGAGGAACAAATAAATAGAGGTGTGTGCACTTCACTCAGCGGCATGTATGTTCGTGTATATGTATGTATACATCCGAATCTGTCAAGGAGCGTGATCCACCGTCGCTTTACTGTGGAAAATTCCCCCCTCTTCCTCCGGAGCCCGGGGTTCCCCCCCCTCCAAAAATCCCCCCCCCCCTTTGCCCCTCCCTCCCGGCAAAACCCTTCCCTCCCCCTAACCCCCCCCCTCTCCGGAAAACCGGGGGGGGGTACTACCTGTTCGACCCCCCCCCCCTCCAGATCTGGAAAACCGGGGGGGGGTTCTTACCCGTTCGAACCCCCCCCCCTTCTCGAAAACCAGAGAGGGGTCACCACCAGTTCGAACCCTCCCCCTCTCCCCCCTTCTCTCGAAAACCCGGGGGGGGTCACTACCGGTTCGACCCCCCCCCCCCTCCCGAAAACCAGGGGGTGTCACTGCCTGTTCGAACCCCCCCCCCCTCCGGAAAACCGAGGGGGGTCACTACCGGTTCGAACCCCCCCCCCGAAGAAAACCAGGGGGTCACTACCGGTTCGAACCCTTTCCCCGCCCCCCTACGCTCACCGCCAGCAAACGACTCCCGGGTCCCTACCTCCGTCCGCACCACATCCCCCACTGCTGTCCCCAGCACCACTGTCCCCACCACCATTGTCCCCACTGTTCCACCACCGTCCCCACTGTCCCCACCAGTGCCCCCACCACTGTCGCACTGTCCCCACTGTCCCCACCACTGTTCCCACCACGGTTCCACTCTCCCCAGTTTCTCCACGGCACCAACCACTGTCCCACTGTCCCCACTGATCCACTGTCCCACTGTCCCCGCCGCTGTCCCACTGAGCTGTCCCACTGTGCCCACCACTGTCCCATACTGTCCCCGCTACTGTCCCCACTGCACCTCTGTCCCACTGTCCCGCCGCCGCCTTCGCCACCGCCCTCACCACTGTCCTCACTACCGCTGTACCCTCCACTGTCCCACTGTTCCCACCACATTTCCACTGTCCCCACACCACTGTCCCCACCACCACCGTCCCCACCACTGTCCCACTGTCCCCACTGTTCCCACCAATGTCCCCGCTGTCCCCACCAGTGTCCCCCGCCGTGTCTCACTGTCCCCACTCTCCCCACCATTGTCCCACCACGGTCCCGCTCTCCCCACTTTCCCCACGGTCCCCACCATTGTCCCACTGTCCCCACTGTACCCACCACTGTCTCACTGCCCCCGCCGCTGTCCCACTGTGCTGTCCCACCGTCCCCACTGTCCCCATCACTGTCCCACTGTCCCCACTGTCCCTACCACTTTCCCCACTGTACTACTGTCCCATCACTGTCCTCACCACCGCCTTCACCGCTGTCCCCGCTACTACCGTCCCCACCATTGTCCGACTGTCCCCACCACTGTCCCGCTGGCACCACTGTCCCCGCCACCACCGTCCCCACCACTGTCCGCACCACTTTCCCACTGTCCCCGCACCACTGTCCCCACCACCACCGTTCCCACCACTGTCCCAGCATCCCCACCATTGTCCAACTGTCCTCGAGGAGCGGGGATCGTTTGCCGGCGGCGAGGGGGGGGGGGGTTGAACCAGTAGTGACCCCCCCCCAGTTTTCGAGGGGGGGTGGGGGGGTTCGAACCGGTAGTGACCCCCCCTCCTTTTCATGATGGAGTGGGGGGGGTTGGGGGGAGGGGTTCGAACCCGTAGTGACCCCCATCGTTTTTTTTTGGGGGGGGACGGATTGGGAACCCCCAGTGACCCCCCTTTAGTTTTCCGTCAGCAGCGGTAGAAGACGCTCTTTCGAGTATGTACATACACATATCCAGGAAGGGGTATGTCTCATACACACATTTCCAGGAAGGGGTATGTCTCTATACATATATATATAGGTGTATACACACATATATATACACAAACGTACACACATATATATATATATATATATATATATCTATACATATATCTATACACTACTCAACCGTACTGACAGACAAACAGACAGACATTTAAAAGGAGAGGGGGAGGAGGCAGGGCCACTGCTGGAGATGGAGGAAAACGAGGAGGAGGGGGAGGCGACCAGGGATGAGGAGGGAGGGCTAGGAGGAAGACCGCACTAAACCGAAAACGCTTCAACGATGTTGCAACAAACTCTCCCTCCAAGATCTCTTGTTGCAGGACCCTACAAATTTTGTTCCCATTGCGGGAGGTTCCTATTGGAAGACAACCGTCTGAGAATCCTCAACCGAGGCAGAAGGCCATTCTTTGGATATCAGCGCCGCGAATCAACGTTGCAGAACACAATGTCTAGGACGTCAACCATACGAATCCCCGAGGCTGTTGCAAAGTTACGACGAATGTGCTCGGCGCCAAGGCGAGAGCTACGTTTTGAAAAGGAACCGTCCTCTGTCCTCGAAACTGTCGCAAACTTTTGATACGAATGTACGCGGCGCTAAGGCGATAGTCACACCTAGGAAAACAAGCCGCCCTCCATCCTGGAGACTGTTGCGAACTTTTAGGACGATTGTGCGCGGCGCGAAAGCGAGAGCCACTTTTTGAAAACGGTCCGCCCTCTATTTCTGACGCTGTTGCACTTCTTAAGCCTCGGGGTCCTAAGTGGTGAGGAAGTCTCCAGTCGAAACGCCCAGTCCAAATTGCGGACACGTTTGGGTGCAACAGGGATGAGATACTTGCAAGGAAGAGGGACGGAGGAGGATGGGGAGGAGGAGGACGAGGAGGAGGAGGAGGAGGAGGACGAGTAGGAGGAGGAACAGAAAGGGGAGGAGAACGAGGAGGAGGAGCACAAGGAGGAGGAAGAGGACGAGGAAGAGGAAAAGGAGGAGGAGGAGGAGTGGAGAAAGGGGAGCCAGTGGACGGTTTGATGGGGCAGCGGGCGCGGGCGATTTGGGGAGTCAGGCGATAAGGGAGGGCGGAAGCGGATCAGCGCGGCCCCCTTTTCGAAGAACAAGAGTCGGCATACTCGAAACGGGTACGGAAAGAATTGGTACAAAGACCGGCAGCATTTCCGGATCATTTTGAATGGCCTTTCAGCGCGGTGGCGTACGCGGCTTGCTCGCCGTCGCCGACCCAGGACCGCGTCCCCTTTCGGGTCAAGTTTGTCTTTCCCTCCTGCTCCTCCTGCTCCTCCTGCTCCTCCTGCTCCTCCTGCTTTTCCTCCTGCTCCTCCTCCTCCTCCTCCTCCTCCTATTCTTGGTGCGACCGAAATTGGTACGGAAAGAATGCGAAAAGACTAATGATAGTTCCTCTCCATTTTGAACAGGGCTCGCCGTCGGTGCCGCCACAGACGTTGTCCATTTGAGACAGAAGGCCGCCCGCCCGACAGCGACCGCTGCAGGTTTTGGACAGCATTTGCTGTTGGGCATCGTGCCCATCTTCTCTGTACACAAGTCGGGCGTGCAGAGGGAGAATCGGCATAAGCATACTTCTTGGGAGACCGCGCGGTTGTCTTAGGTCGGCGCTGGACTCCCTCCCCTGGCGGCGCCTCCTGCGCCGCCCCCGGCGCTGCGCGCGCCAGGGGGGGAGGGCTCCAGCACCGATATCCCAGGAGTCCGCGCGGGACTCCCAAAGGCACGTGCTTGCGCAGTTTTGTCCCAACCACCCCTCACCCTAATCACCCAATGAGTTCGTGGCCTAACTTAGGTCCAGGGCTTTGAGGAATATCCCTAATATGGGTGGCTTCGCCTGACACGTCTGCAAAACCAGGCCCCCTATACCTAATGCTTTCGGCCCGTCTAACTTAGGCCCCAAAAGATTAGGGCTACTTTTCTTGCTTATTATTGTTCCACCTTTCACTCTGGCCCCGTCCAGGAGCCAGGGCAGGTGGAGAGGATGGCCCAGCAGGTCAAGGACCAGTCCAAGGCCCCCGCGCGCGCCGTCGGCGGGGGGGAGGAGGAGGAGGCCAGCCCTGACGTTGCGTCTTCGGGGAACCTCGTCTGTCCCATCGCGCCTCTTTCCGCGTCGAATCCATGTCGGACTTGTCAAATCTACGTCGAATCCACGCCGCATCCGCGTCCAGCCCGCATTGGATCCAGGACAAACAGCGCAGCCGCAGGACCGGCGATGCGCCCCGAAGGTGTGACGCGACGGCCCAGGTGGCGCAGTGAGGACCCGCATTCGCTGCGTGGCGCTCTCGTAGAGCCGCCGGGGTCCGCCACGGCCGCGGGCGGCAGGGGCAGAAGGAGGGGGACGAGGAGCGGGAGGAGGAGCAGCAGGAGGACCAGGGGGGGGGGGGCCTGGGGTGCGGGGCGGAGCTCGCGGCCGACATCGCCGTTATCGCGTGCGCGGACACGGTCTCGTGCAGGCTGCAGTCCACGGGCCTTGACCCGCAGGCCCCCTCCGCCTGGGAATGGCCGCTGTCACTGCCAGCGTGTCACTCACCCCTGGGGCAGCCGCCCTGTTTGAGGGGAGGCTGCCGGGCCCAGATCAAAGGGCGCCGGGCTAAACCTATCCTCGGTCGCCGGGCTCAAACATGATGTCTTGAGGCCCTCTTGGGGCGCTCTTGGGCCGCTCTTGGACGCTCCTGGGGCCCTCCTGGGGCTCTCTTGGGCCGTCTTGGGGCCATCTCGAGGCCTCGTGAGCCCATCAGAAGCGAAAAGGCGAGAAGGCAAGCCACATTGATTTTCCCTAGATTTTTGAACGAGTTTGGTCTCTTGGGGGGGTCATCATTGGAGGGCTCGGAGGACACTTGGGAACCGTCTTGGGGCCGTTTGGAGGCTTCTTGGATGTGTGCCGAGGCTATCTGGAACTATCTTGAGGCATCCTGAACCATCTTGGAGGTCACCTTGGGCTCCTTGAGGCCCTCCTGGAGCCATCTTGGGCCACCTTTGGGCGCTCTAGCTAGCTGCCCGCGGCCCCCCCCCTCCCAGGCCAAGGGGGGGGGTATTAGGGAGAGGGTCGAGGCCCCTCCCTTCGCCCGCCCTCTCAGCACAGAAGTGACACCCGAGAGAGTTTCGGCACATTTCTCGGCATGTTGCTCAGGAGCGCCACGCATGCCATGTGCGCCACGGGCCCCAGGCGCACCCAGGTTCTTCCTCCTTCTCCTCCTCTTCCTCCTCATCCTCCTCCTCCTCCTCCTCATCATCCCCCTTCGCCCCCTCCACCCTTCCCCCTCCTCCTGCTCGTCATTCTCCTCCTCCTCCTCCCCCTCACCCAGGAGAACCGAGCGAGCCGGGCGCGCCAGGTGCGGCACGTGCTCCACGGTTGCGCAAGAGATCGGCACCCCCGCCGTCCCTGTCTGGCGGTGGGGAGCCCGCGCACGCTCCGGATCTGGAGGCAGAGTGCATCCCGTATCGTTTTTGGAAGGGATGGTTGACTTGCGCGCTGCAAGCAGTATTCAGGGTGGAAAAAACCCAGACACAATTAATCGACGATCCCCAGGAAAATACGGAAAAATGTGGGAAGTGGGGGGGAAGACAAAAACCCAGAAAATATTGGGAAATATGGGGGATCCTTTTATATTTGTGTATTTATTTGTGTGTCCCAGTTTCCCTTCACAGATCTAGAGGCAGAGTGCATTCCGTATCGTTTTTTTGAATGGGAGGGTTGACTTGCGCGCTGCAAGCCGTACGACGGCACCCCCGCTGTCCTTGCCAAAAACCACTGCGCAGAGGTCGCGGGGCGCCCGCGCACGCTCCAGATTAGGAGGCAGAGTGCATTCCGTATCGTCTTTCTGATAGGAATGATGTGCCTTGCGAGCAGCTCGCCTACGGCCAACCCGCCGTCCCTTTCAAAATCCAATACACAGTTGTCGCGGGGCGCCCGCGCATGCTCCAGATGTAGAGGCAAAGTGCATTCAGTATTGTTTTTTGACACGGATGGCTGGCCTGCGCGTAGCGAGCAATATGACGGCATCCCCGCGGCCCTTGCCAAAAACCAATGCAAAGTTGTCGCGCGGCGCCTGCGAATGCTCCAGATTTGGAGGCAAAGTGCAATCCGTATCGTTTTTTTGAAAGGGAGGGTGGGGTGGTGGTGGCATGTCGCGGGTTGGCCCAGTCGGGTGTGGGACGGGGTGTGTAATTCTAAGGAGCAGTGATGAACCCCTCTCCCGAACATGGGAAGGAGGGAGCTGTGGCAAAGAGAAGACGAAGTTCGTGAAACCACCTGCGCCCAGAGGACCAGCAGGACTTCTCAGAAGGCCGTTGGACTTCCGATCCTTCTGAGAAGGCCCGCCCCTTTTCATTTCCTCCCCAGGCTCGCCGCCGACCAGGGAGAAGCGATACATGTATCCAGGGGCGCCGATGGTCCATGCCTTCGGTGAGGCTCCCGGGCGAGTACGTGCAATGCCCGCCCATGGGCCAGCAAGGCCACCGTGGCTTCGTGACGGCCTCAGATGGCGTCAAGACGGTCTAAGAGGCCCCCAAGACTGCCCAAGACATCTCCAAGAGGTCCCCCAAGAGGGCCCGAAGAGGTACTACAAAGCGGCCCACTCCCTTAGGACAGCGCACATGTCTAGCACATTCGCTGTTTTCATGTGCACGGCCGAGGAGGTCCCCCAGAGGGCCCCAAGACGGTCCGAGAAGCACCCAGGACCGCCCAAGACGGCCCCCAAGAGGGCCCCAAGAGGGGCCCCAGGGGGGGAATTCGAACCCGCATGTCGAGGCCTCCGCCCCAGGAAACTCAGCCCTCGTCGGCCCTCACTGCACTGCCTGCGCCGCACCAGTGGGCTCCGGCAGACCAAGCACACCCTGGCGCTCACACTTTTTTCGGGGGCCGCAGCGCCAAGGGGGCCTCGGCGCGGTCGGGGCTACGGCGGCCCACGCGCTCGCGAACTGCGCTTCTGCAGGCGGCCGGCGAGGCGAGGCGGCCGCGGAGGGAGCCCAGCGATAGATCCTTTCTCCTCCTCCTCCTCCTCCTGCTCCTCCTGGTCCTCCTCCTCCTCCTCCTCCTCCTCCTCGTGCTCCTCCTCCTGCTCCTCCTCCTCCTCCTCCTGCTCCTCCTCCTCCTGCTCTCTTCCAAAGCTCCTTGCGCGCCCAGACGCTTCCCTGGCACGAGGAAGCCTCTCGTCCTGGGCGGCGCGAGCGACCCGAGACTCCGGGCGGGAGGCGCGCCGGCGTGGCCGGCGTCGCGCCGCGGAGGCCCGCGGAGCGCCGGGGCTGCTGGGCGCCACGGTGCACACACCGACGCCAGTGCAGGCCAGGCGAGGTTCTCTGGCGCATGGCCTGGGCGTGCGCATTTGGCATTTTTCTTCGGCGAGGGCCACCGGGGGGAGCGCCCTGGATGATCTTTCGAGGAGTGGGCGCAGGAAGCCGCCAGAGGGCACGGGGAGGGGACGTCCGAGCGATGGCAGGGGTACGCGCCGTGCGAGCCCAGGAAGTATCCGAGCGAGGCCTGAAGACGTCCAGGAGCGAAGAGGGTGAGTTAAATATTAGTCGGATAAGAACAACTGGCGTGAGCACATGCTTTGGTAGCTCCAAGGGGATTTGATCGGCCCCCATCCCTCGGCGGCGCCGCAGGCGCTGGGGGGGGGGCGCCAGCGGCGCCAGGGAGGCGCGCCGATCCAAAAAGTCCGTGCGGAGCTCCGACAGTTTCTGTTGATGCACGTTTTTCTTCTGGTGTCGCGGGCGACCGGTATGCACCGTGCCGCGTTGGCGTCTCCCGAGGCGTCGTCAATCCTCGACCCAGGAACTGTACGATGTAGAGTTTTGCGGCCCTCAGAGCCAGACAAGTACAGTGGGAGCTCGACCACAAGAAACTCTCCACAAGAAGCCCAACCCTGAGACCGTGGGTCGTCCATTGATTTTGGGTGTGGGAGCGTCACGCTTTCCATGCCAGAAACCCAGGGAGTCCTGGAGTCAAGCAGGGTGTTTCTTGGCATGGGCTTCCACTGTATGCACAGTGCCGCGTTCGAGCGGGGCCTGACTGGAGTCCAGAACATGGTACGGTGCATGGGCGCCGTTCTTGTACAGTGAAGACACGTTGGCGCTGAGACGCATGTCCTGAGGATCCTCGAGGGACAGCCTCGGGGGCCCCCGAACGGTGCGGTGACAACACCGCGTAGTGAGTGAGTGGGGAGACCGCACGGTTTGGGGACTTCGGTCGTTCTCCGAGAATGTCTCGGGCGATTGGGGCCGCCAGGGTCCCCCAAACCGTGCAGTGAGGGAGCGTGTGGTGAGCCCGTAGGAGTCTTCGACGACTTATCCCGATTCATACACGATATGACTGGGGAACACCAAGCACTGGTTGGATTATGGTTGCGATCAGATGCGGTGGGACAGCGGGAAACACGCCTTCCTCCAGCACGTGCAGTAAACGGACCCTGGGTCACTCGCGTTGCCCCGAAGGGGCCCGCTGGCCGGCCAGCCGGCGGACTCAGCGCGCTCCGCACCCTGTAGATCCGAAGTCGCGAACAAATCTGCAACATAGTGAACAATCACGACTGCAGCCCCAGGCTCCATCTTTTTTGCGCCATCTTGTCGAGCCAGATCGAGCTGTGAGGGTTCTGGGGCCCGAAACCTGGCGAGAACGCCCAGCGTGAGGCAATTCAGCGCCCGGATCTCAGGTACGATCTGCCACCGCACCGTCTCTGGATCCCGAGCTGACGCACGTTCTGAGGACCACCGACAGGATGATGATGAGGAGGAGGCGAAGGAGGCGGAGGAGGCGAAGGAGGAGAAGGATGAGAAAGGGGAGGAATGAGGAGGAGGAGCTTTTGCGGGAGAGGATGGTGATGATGATGATCATGATGCTGATGCTGATGATGATGCTGCTGATGATGATGATGATGACGATGACGATGACGATGACGACGATGACGACGATGATGATGATGATGACGATGACGATGACGATGATGATGATGATGATGATGATGATGATGATGATGATGATGATGATGATGACGATGACGATGACGATGACGATGATGATGACGATGATGATGACGATGATGATGGTGTCGGTGGTGATGATGACGATGATGATGATGCTGATGATGATGCTGCTGATGATGATGCTGCTGCTGATGATGATGATGATGATCTGATGCTGATGATGATGATGATGATGATGATGATGATGATGATGATGATGATGATGATGATGAGGAGGAGGAGGAGGAGGAGGAGGAGGAGGAGGAGGAGGAGGAGGAGGACGTTTTTAGGACCATCGAGGCAACCCTTTCCTAGCTGACACTGGCCCTGCCGCTGCCGCGGCAGGCGGCCTACCAGGGCGTCAGCGGCCTCCTTCAGGGGCAGGGCCAGGAGCAGAAGCGACGCTCGGCGCGTTACAGCGGCCCGTTCGTCCAGGAGGGGGAGGGGTGCCTCGCGGCGGGGGGGAGGGAGGGACTCAGGCGTGCATCGTACAGTGCCGGTTTTCATACATGCTCCGCGTGCGGATCATGTATTTTCAATACAGGGATTTAGCATTAAAAACACCGATGAGTTCATGCATACATTTATTCATAAATTTATCATGTATTAAAAATCCTATATTTTCAAAAATCCAATTTATGAAAAACTGCCCTGTACTGAGATCCTTGCGTCTCCCTTTCTTTCGCACCCGGCGCTGCCGCCTGGTTTCGGGCTCTGGGATCATCACAGATCGAGCAGGCTCGAGAAACGGCACAGAAAGAGGGGGTCTGGGGTTCCGGTCGTGATCCTGTTGCACCTTTTGCGCGGCGTCGAATCCCGGAGTTGCGCAGAAATGCAATGTTTTGAAGCATCGGGACGGCTTTTTTAACATGATTTTCGGCCTCTGGGGGCCCCCTTGGCCAACCCTTGGGGTCCGCCAGAAAGCGATCCGGGATGAACATCTTGCCCCGGGGAATGGGTCAGGACTTCGGGGACCGCGTACCGAAACAAGCATGACATCGCGTGTCTTGGGAGGCAAGAGGCGGCGGCGGCGGTGGACGGTGGGGTGGGCGTCAGGCCGTGCTCAACGTGCACCAAGGTGTGCCACTTTCTGCGCGTGAGCGGTCCAGGGCGAGGCCTGCCAGGGCGGCGACGAGGGACCCGAAGGCACGCCGACTGGCAAGCGGCCCAGGCCTCGGGGGGCCATGGCCGGGCAGTTCGCCCTCCCCCCCCCCCTCCGCGGGGAGGGAAGGGGAGGGGGAGGGACTGGGCACACGGGGTTCGGAGTTCGAGGTTTTTGGGCGCTCTCGTGGGGTTCTCGTGGGCCCTCTCGTCCGCTTCCTCGTGGTGTCTCGAGGCTTCTCGCGGCGTGCTCGCGGGTTTCTCGAGGTTCCTCGAGGTTCGAGGTTTTCTGGCGTTCTCGTGGGTTGTCGGCTATTTTCCAGCTTCGGGGTGCTCTCCAGCAGCTGCGCCTCGCCGAGAGCATTCTGGCGGTGCCCTGATCGTCCCGAGCGGCCACCAGAGACCTCTCTCTCTCTCTTATGACCCGGGAGCCAAGTGAGAGGATCACTGGGGTCGGAGGAAAGAGGGGTGTGGGGGGCAAGTACGAAGCTTGGGGCAGGCAGCCAGTTTCGGCCACGCCGCCGAGCGCTCTCATCGATATATGAACTCCAGCGCCGAGAGGTGCCAAGACTACCAGGCGCATGCAGCTGATCCGCTATCCCCCCCTGTGGTTTCCACCCCTTCCTTTCGTCCGACCCATCGGGAGGAGGGAGGGTGGAGGAGAGAGAGAGGAGGGTCACGAATCACCCTCGTTAAGTTGGGATTCGATTGTGACGGCAAGTGCCATCACTGGGGAATCCGACACAATCCACCACTGTCTTTGGCACTATCCCCACGCACAGGACTTCAGCGACGATCTCTTGGTTTCTCTAGTCGCAGCTGCGCGCGCTGAAGGATAGGATAGCATAGTAGGTCCCGCGAGGGGAAGTGGACCCTCCAGTCGAGTTCGTGCGATTCGAATCTATCGATGCACGTGGAAGGTACGAGCCCTCCAGGCTGGCAGCAGACATCCCTGTACACATTGACAGGAGCTGCCCGAATCCCACTATCCGCCACTTTGCGCGAGCATGCTCTGCCACCACCAAGATTACAGGTCACCCCCACGGGGTCTCGAGGATCATCGCGCTTCGCGCGTCGCAGTCGGGGCCAGAACGGCTGCCCTTCTCCCAAGGGGGCGGCGCGCGAGCGCGAAGGAGCGAAGATCGTGGCGCGTCGCGCATCGCGGGGCGCGATGCGCGAAGTTATGTGGCACAGAAGGTGACGTCGATGGTAGTTCGGTCAGGGCAGTCCGTGCCCCTCTCCCCCCGAGGGCGGAGATCGTTCAGGATCTAGCGGCCCACGCGGAGGAGGAGGAGGAGGAGGAGGAGGAGGAGGAGGAGGAGGAGGAGGAGGAGGAGGAGGAGGAGGAGGAGGAGGAGGAGGAGGAGGAGGAGGAGGAGGAGGGGTATGACGGCCAGCCGGGATGAGGAAGGAATGATGAGTGGGTGGAAACAAAGGGCTAAAGTGGAGGAGTGGTGCGAGATTGGTGGTGGGGGGAGGGGCAGGAGGAGGAGGTAGAGGAAGGGGGGAAAGAGGAAGAGGAGGAAGAGGAAGAGGACGAGGAGAGAGATAGAGAGAGAGAGAGAGAGAGTAGGGGGCGTGTAGAGGGTGGAAGGAGGAGCAAGGCGGGAGAGTGTGGAGTGTGTGTGTGTGTGTGTGTGTGTGTGTGTATGTGTGTGTGTGTGAGAGTGTGCGCGTGTGTGGAGGCGATGGACGAGGATGCGGTGGTCGAGGAGGCGGGGGAGTAGGGCGAGGAGAAGACAATATGATGATGGAGGCTCAGGGCGGGGGAGGGGGGGAGGGAGGTGGAGGAGCAGGGGAGGGACGAGATGGATCAGGAGGCGCGTGGCGGAGAGATAGGGAGGCAGGCGGATGGGTGGTGCCAGTCCGCCCGGGCTTGGCCAGGAGATCCGGAAGCGGCTGGACTCCTACCTGGCCATCACGGTCCGCGGGAAGCGCGCGCTTCGGGAGAAGACCTAGCCAGGCATCCCGCGTCGCTAGCAAATCTTAGGGGCCCCCGAGCGGTGCGGTGTGCGGTGACCACGCCGTAAGGTGAGTCAGTGGGGATTTGGGATGGCTGCACGGTTTGGGGACTTTTGGTCGTTCTCCGAGGACGTCTCGGGCGACTCGGGCTCTCCGAGGTCCCACAATGATGTAGTGACGGACCCTTCGGTCCTGAGGGGTCCTCTCGGAGGCCATCGATCTAAGGAGGGGGCGGCGCGGAATTGTGCCCCTCCTCTTGGGCTCGAAGAGTCGCCTCGGGCTGCACTAGGGACGCTCCAAGGCGATCTTGGGACAGTCTTGGAGCCATCTTGAGGCCTCAGAGGCTTATCAGAAGCGAACAGGCGAGAACACAGCATTCACGAGTTTTCCCGAAATTGGAATGACTTAGACGCTCCGTGGTGCCACTTGGAGGAACATTGCAGGCCATGTTGGGAATATCTGCAGCCATCTTGGACTCTGATCGCTTGCGAAACACGCCGTCCAGACCCATGCGAGGGGGGTAGGGCGAGGGGTAACAGGGTTGGAAGAGGAAGCGCTCCATGCCACCCCCGCCCAGAGGGCTGGCAGGATTCAGCCTTGGCGCTGGCATCCCTCCCTGCTCTGGCCTTATCCCGCTTACTTTGGCTTGGCTTTATGCTCAGTCCCGCTTGACGCATCTGGCGTAAGTCTTTGCCGGATCTGGGCTAATCCGGCTTCGTAGGCCCTCGATCGGGGCCCCCTCCGGCGCCGGAAAGTGTTGGACGAATCAGCTACGTGTGCTGGTTCGCCAAGTCCCCCGTTGGCCATTTCCCCCCCCCCCCCAGGCATCCGCCGATCGTTTTTTTTTCAGCCCGTGGCTCCAGAGCTGCCGACCTATCGGAGTTTTGCGCCCCAGATCAGGTTTTGATTGCCCAGCGGTCCGAAAGCGGCCTCCCAGATGCCGCCGGATGCCGACAGGCGGAAAGAAGGCCAGGATTGAAAGCATCGTGCCGTCGGAGGTCCGGGTCTTTCGTCCGAACCGATCCTCCCTGCTCCCTTTCGCCCCATGGCTCGCACACGGGGACGGAGCAGATGATGTCGCAGGGTCGCGCCGCATCGTCGATGCGTCAGCGATGTGGCGCGCTCCAGAGCCCGACGTCTCGTCCATCCCAACCACGCGGTGCGACTCTCCGACCCCAGCTGCCCTGGGACCGTCTGGGTGGCCGCCACCTGAGCGACGGAAGAAAATGGGGTCGTCCTCACCGACGTCGGTGCATAAGCTGCTCGCGTAAGGTCGCGCGTGAGCGCCCGCGTTTCTGATGTGGCGTGCCACGCTGACGGCCCGCGTAAGGGTGCTACAGTCAAGACGTTGAAATTCCCCACGCTTTGCGTATCACCACCAGCGCCACCGTGCGACCCCCGCCGGCTTTTCCTGGTTGCCTCCCCCCCCCCCCCTCCCCTCGTCGCCGCCCGCGCTTGTCCCCCCTTCTGCTCCTCCTCGCCGCGTTTGGCGGTGCTCTCCTGGGGCTCCGTGTTGCCCGCACATTGTTCCTACGCAGGCTTGGTCTGTGGGGGCTGGCGCCACTGTGCGACCCTCCGCCGGCTTTCCTGTCTGTTCTAATGAGGTTCATTTTGTCCCTCGCACGTGTGCGGTCGGCTGTCGACAGTGACGGCTGGGTTCGCAAATTTTCTCGCTCTGTGCCCCAGACGACCTGATTGACCCGCCCTCTGGAGCCGTCCTTTGGGCCGCAGATCAAAAAAGTATCACCACCAGCCCGTTCAGAAACCCTTCGCAGGAGAGCTGAAGGGAAAAGGAACGAAGGGGCACATCTAGTGAACGAAAGCGGAATGAACAGAGATCTTTCGGAGCAAGGGTGTGGCTTTGGAGGGCCTCTTCGGGCCATCCCTGGGGCCCGCGGGGGGGCGAGGGGAGAATGAGGATGATGAGGATGAGGATCAGGATGAGGACGAGGATGATGATGATGATGATGCTGATGATGACGATGATGACGATGATGATGATGATGCTGCTAAAGCTGAATATCATTTTGATGATGAACATGATGATGACGATGATGATGATGCTGCTGATGTTGCTGATGCTGCTGATGATGATGATGCTGATGATGATGACGACGATGACGCTGATGACGATGATGATGGTGATGATGATGATGATGATGACGATGATGATGATGATGATGATGCTGACGATTAGGATGATGATGTTGATGTTGATGCCGATGCTGCTGATGATGCTGATGATGATGATGCTGATTATGGTGATGACGACGATGAGGATGCTGACGATGAATATGATGATGATAATGATGATGCTGCTGCTGATGATGCTGATGATGAAGCTGATGACGATGACGATAACGATGATGATGATGATGATGATGGTGGTGATGATTATGCAGTTGATGGTGGTGATGCTGATGGTGGCGGTGTTGGTGATGATGATGCCGTTGATGATGCTGATGATGATTATGATGGTGGTGGTGGTGGTGATGCTGATGATGCTGATTCTGATTATGATGATCATCATGATGATGCTGCTGCTTATGATGATGCTGCTGATGATGATGGTGAGGATGATGATGATGCTGATGACGATGAGGATGATTAACCGCAGGAAGCAATTAAGAAACCCCCCCCCCCCCCCCCCCCCCCCCCCCCCCTCTCCGGCGAAAGTATAACGCATCCAGCACCCTGGAGGCGTTATCCTGGCACCTCGCAGTCTTTGAGAAGATCGGAGAGAGGGAGGGAGGGAGGGAAGTGCGGGCCCACATTGCGAGGATGTCTCAAGCGACGCGTGTGCTTCATCGCCGCGGGGGGCCCCCCCCGTAGGACGCCCCCATAGGACTCACTCAGAAGACTCCCCCCCAGGACTCCCCCATAGGACCTCTCCCCTAGGACTTCCCCATAGGCCTTCCCCATCGGACCCCCCCCCCATAGGACTCCCCCGTGGGATTCCCCCATAGGACTCCTCCATAGAACTCCCTCATAGGACCCCCCCATAGAACTCACCCACAAGATTTCCCATAGGATGTGTCAGAGCAGTTCTTGAGGATGTCTCAGGCGAAGCGTTTGTTTCCGAACCACACGGAAGCCAGATTGCGAGAGTGTTTCAGGCGGTTTGCTTGCGTCGGCACGCAGACTCGTCTGCGTTCGTAGCAGACGGATTCTCAGGCTTCTCGCGTCCGCAGCTTTCGAGGTTCCCGAAAGGCAGCAGTGGGGCCCCTGAGCTTCTCGATTCCTTGGGCGGTCGTGTGAGATCAGTTATTGAATTACTCTGAAGATTCGTATTCATATTGACGCGTGTTCAGTCGTACTTCTGTCTTGCCTGTTCCTCCCGCTTGGTTATAATTTGTATATGATTATTCTCCTCCCTAGTACTCTTGCCCTCACTCTGGACAGGGGGTCGGGGGGCGGGGAATTATTTTCCGTGCGTGACCGGTGCTAAGATAACGCCGCGGTGCGGGGTGGCGCGTTATCCTGGGATGGACCACCCCACAGGATGGCCGAAAATAATTAATGTTTCAATACGGATATCAATAAGAATTTGTTAGGAGAGGGACGATGAGGAGAATCAGAAAATGGAGACTTGTAGTGGACGGTAAGGAGAGCGTGTGAACCTGCAGTCGCTGGGTACGAGCTATTACTATTAATATATCTATTACTATTACTATTACCATTTCTATTACTACTACTATTACTATTACTATTACTATATCTATATATATTACTATTACTATTACTATTACTATTACTAATACTATTACTATTACTATTACCATTCTTACTACTATTACTATTACTATTACTGTTACTATTATTATTACTATTACTATTACTATTACTGCTACTATAACTATTACTATTACTATTACTATCTCTATTACTATTACTATCACTATTACTATTACTATTACTATTACTATTACTATTACTATTTCTATTTCTATTTCTAGTACTATTACTAGTTCTATTACTATTACTATTACTATTACTATTACTATCTGTATTACTACTACGTTTACTATTACTATTACTATTACTATTACTATTACTATTACTATTACTATTACTATTAATATTTCTATTACTATTACTACTGCTATTACTATATCAATTACTATTACTATATCTATTACTATTACTATTACTATTACTCTTACAATTACTATTACTAGTACTAGTACTATTACTATTACTATTACTATTACTATTACTATTACTATCAGTATTAGTATTGGTATTATATTACTATTACTATTACTAGTACTATTACCAATACTATCACTATTACTATTACTATTACTATTACTATTACTATTACTATTATTAGCATTATTACTATTATTATTACTATTACTATTACTATTACTATTACTATTACTATTACTACTACTAGAGCCCAGGGGGGACCAGGACTCCGTGGAAGTGTTTAGCATCAGTGACTCCATGGAATGGCCTTGGGCTCCTCAGCATCTCCTTCAACCTTTTTTCCTTGGCATCCCAGGAAATCCTTGCCCCCCTCCCTGGGCTCCTTCAGAGGTCCCCCCTGGGCTCTTCCAGGATTGTCTGAGAGGGGTGCTGCTGCTTTTCGGTGTACACCGACCTTCCTTAGGAATCCTCAGACCTTCCTTAGGCATCCTTAGGAATCCTTAGGAATCCTTAGGGCCATGGCGCTGGAATTATTTAATTTATTTTTGTTTTGCGCGGTGCTAAAGATAACGCTCGGCTAAAACCACCCCAAATAATTATTTAATTACGGCGCGGTGCTAACGATAACCCCGGGGGGTTCCTTAATTGCTTCCTGCGGTTATGACGATGATGATACTGAGTCTGATAATGATGTTGCTGACGATGCTGATTATGCTGATGCTGCTGATTATCATGATGATGGGATGATGCTGATGACGATGATGCTGATTATGATGATGATGATGGTAATGATGACACTGATGATGATGATGCTGATGATGATGCTGCTGACGATGATACTGATGATGAGGAGGATGATGCTGCTGCTGATGACGATGATGCTGATTAATATGATGCTGTTGACCATGGTGATGATGATGAGTTTGATGATGATGATGATGATGATGATGATGATGATGATGAGGATGATGATGAGGATGAGGATGCGGATAAGGATGATGCTGATGATGATGATGATGATGCTGATGCTGTTGATGATGCTGCTGCTGATGATGATGATGATGATGCTGATGCTGCTGCTGCTGCTGCTGCTGATGATGATGATGATGATGATGATGATGATGATGATGATGATCATGATGATGATGATGATGATGATGATGATGATGATGATGATGATGATGATGATGATGATGATGATGATGATGATGATGATGGCGGTGGTGGTGGTGGTTGTGAGGAGGGGGAGGAAGTGGAGGAGGAGAAGGATGAGGAGGAGCAGGAGGAGGAGGAGGAGGACCAGTGTAAATCCAAGAGTCACCAACGATGTTGGAATTAACCCTCCCTCCAAGCTCCTTCTCCATAGGCCCCTAGAACGGTTCATTTCCAATGAGGGAACTGCCTCGTTGGAAGACAACCGTTGGAAGACCCTGCAACATGCCAAAACATTGTTCTCGGGATTTCAACGCCGCGGATCAACCTGACTGCTGCGCCTTGACGAGCCCGAATCGTGACAGATCGCCATTTTTGGGATTTCAACTCCGCGAATCAACATAATTATTGCACCCGCATAATTCTAAATCCTTCCGAAACGCCAGTTCTGGTACGTTGATCATGGGAATCCGTGAAACTCTTGCAGTTTTTGAAACGAGTGCGCGCGGCGCTAAGGCGAGAGCCACATTTTGAAAAGGAACCGCTCTCAATCCGTGAAGCTCTTGCAAACTTTTGAAACGAATGTGCGCGGCGCTATGGCGAGAGCAACATTTTCAAAACCACCCGCCCTCAATCCGTGAAACTATTGCAAATTTTTGAAACGAATGTACGCGGCGCTGTGGCGAGAGCCACGTTTTGAAAACCACCCACCCTCAACCCGTGAAGCTCTTGCAATTGTTTGAAACGAATGTGCGCGGCGCTATTGTGGGAGCCACATTTTGAAAACCACCCGCCCTCCATCTGTGAAACTGTTGGCATTTTTAAAGCTTAAGAGTCATAAATGGTGAGGAAGTCTCAGGCGAAACGCCCGGCCTGCCCTACAAACTGGCCTCGGGGTGCGACAGGGAGAAGTTATTCAGAAGGACAAGGAATGGAGGAGGAGGACGAGGAGGAGGAGGAGGAGGAGGAAGAGGATGAGGTGCAGGAGGAAGAGGAGCCTTTGCCACCTCGCGAGGCCTCCCAACAAAACCCAGGGAGGGGAGGGGGAGGGTACTACCCATTCCCGAAGGGAAGAGGGTTTTGGAAGAGGAGAGAAATATATATAATTAGACCACACGACCCTTGCCCAAAGGGCTGGTGTCATTAGGACCGATTTGGGCTCAGGAGGGGCGGGGGGGAGGGGGGGAGGGCCACCGGCGCCTTCCCGAGCGGCCGCGACCGTGCAGCCGCTCCCGACCACTGGAGGGCCGCCGCGTGCGCGACCCCCCACGAGCGCTGGAGAGGAGGCGGCGGGGGGGGGGGCAGGTCCGCCCGAGCGGCGCCCTCCCGAAGGGCAGAAGAGGACTGAGCATTCTCTTCGGGTGGAGGGCAAGGGGTGAAATCTGAAGTGCCGCTGCGATGGGTTTTCGAGGCCCGAGTCTGTCAAGGGCGAACCACGAGACGGATTGCTTTTCGAAGTGCAAAACAGCCCATATGGATTTCACCCTGGGCCCTCCACCCTGGGAAAATGCTCAGGAGGCGGAAGCCCCGCGAGAGGGCCCGCGGGGGCGGCCGCGAGCCCGTGCCGCCGAGCCCGCCCCCTGGGAGGTCCGCAACGTGCGCGACTCCATCCCGAAGGCCATCGGCTTCTACCTCGTGCGGGGCGTGCAGGCGGCCTGGCCCGCGCCTCCGGCCCGCGCCTGCTGCCCTGGCGTCAAGTCCGGCACGTCCCTCTACAGGAGGAAACTTTGAAACATAGTCAAAAACATAGTCAAACAAATAGTCAAAACATAGTTACAAAACAATCAAAACAACATCCCGGCAAAGCAACCTAACAGCGATGTGTAGGAGCATATCTGGAAGCATTCCCTTTAAGATTCAGATGAGAATCCTGTTGTAGAATTCTGCTGTTCTCGCAGTCGTAGTCGCATTCGCGATGGCAGTCGCAGTGGCAACGGCAGTCGCAGTCACAGCGTCAGCCTCAGCCTGCCTCAGCCTCAGCCTCAGCTTGCTTCAGCCTCAGCCTGCCTCAGCCTCAGCCTCAGCCTGCTTCAGCCTCAACATCAGTCTGCCTTCAGCCTCGGCCTCAGCCTCAGCCTGCCTCAGCCTCAGCCTGCATCAGCCTCAGCCTCAGCCTCAGCCTGCCTCAGCCTCAGCCTCAGCCTGCCTCAGCCTCAGCCTGCCTCAGCCTCAGCCTCAGCCTGCTTCAGCCTCAGCCTCAGTCTGCCTTCAGCCTCGGCCTCAGCCTCAGCCTGCCTCATCCTCAGCCTGCATCAGCCTCAGCCTCAGCCTCAGCCTGCCTCAGCATCAGCCTGCCTCAGCCTCAGCCTCAGCCTGCCTCAGCCTCAGCCTCAGCCTGCTTCAGCCTCAGCCTCAGTCTGCCTTCAGCCTCGGCCTCAGCCTCAGCCTGCCTCAGCCTCAGCCTGCATGCCTCAGCCTCAGCCTCAGCCTCAGCCTGCCTCAGCATCAGCCTGCCTCAGCATCAGCCTGCCTGCTCAGCCTCAGCCTCAGCCTCAGCCTGCCTCAGCCTCAGCCTGCCTCAGCCTCAGCCTCAGCCTCCGCCTGCCTCAGCCTCAGCCTCAGCCTCAGCCTGCCTCAGCCTGCCTCAGCCTGCCTCAGCCTCCTCAGCCTCAGCCTGCTTCAGCCTCAGCCTCAGTCTGCCTTCAGCCTCGGCCTCAGCCTCAGCCTGCCTCAGCCTCAGCCTGCATCAGCCTCAGCCTCAGCCTCAGTCTGCCTCAGCATCAGCCTGCCTCAGCCTCAGCCTCAGCCTGCCTCAGCCTCAGCCTCAGCCTGCTTCAGCCTCAGCCTCAGTCTGCCTTCAGCCTCGGCCTCAGCCTCAGCCTGCCTCAGCCTCAGCCTGCATCAGCCTCAGCCTCAGCCTCAGCCTGCCTCAGCCTCAGCCTGCCTCAGCCTCAGCCTCAGCCTCAGCCTCAGCCTGCCTCAGCCTCAGCCTCAGCCTGCTTCAGCCTCAGCCTCAGTCTGCCTTCAGCCTCGGCCTCAGCCTCAGCCTGCCTCAGCCTCAGTCTGCATCAGCCTCAGCCTCAGCCTCAGCCTGCCTCAGCATCAGCCTGCCTCAGCCTCAGCCTCAGCCTCAGCCTGCCTCAGCCTCAGCCTCAGCCTGCTTCAGCCTCAGCCTCAGTCTGCCTTCAGCCTCGGCCTCATCCTCAGCGTGCCTCAGCCTCAGCCTGCATCAGCCTCAGCCTCAGCCTCAGCCTGCCTCAGCATCAGCCTGCCTCAGCCTCAGCCTCAGCCTGCCTCAGCCTCAGCCTTAGCCTGCTTCAGGCTCAGCCTCAGTCTGCCGTCAGCCTCGGCCTCAGCCTCAGCGTGCCTCAGCCTCAGCCTGCCTCAGCCTCAGCATCAGCCTGTTCAGCATTCAAAATGTGGCCCGGGAATTGAGCTCTGGGAACTCGAAGAACACGAAGTGGCCGACAGTTGGCTCCGGGCATTCAAAATCATGCCCAGGAATGGAGTTCTGGGAACTCGAAGATCACGAAGTGGCCTACAGTTGGCTCCGGGCATTCAAAATGTGGCCCGGGAATGGAGTTCTGGGAACTCGAAGAGCACGAAGTGGCATATAGTTGGCTCTGGGCATTCAAAATGTGGCCCGGGAATGGAGTTCTGGGAACTCGAAGACCGCGAAGTGGCCTACAGTTGGCTCTGGGCATTCAGAATGTGGCCCGGGAACGGAGTTCTGGGACCTCGAAGACCACGAAGTGTGTAACAGTTGGCTAAAAAAAGTACCCGGAACCCTCCCCCGGATCGCGCCCAGACCCCCTGGGGCGTCATGTTGCTCTCTTTTGACCCCACTAGAAACCTAACAGTCTTCGCTGTTAGGTAAATAGAAACTTGAAGCATAGTCAAAAAATAGTCATGGGATGAGTTTTTGAGCATCTTCGAGCCTTTTTCCTGGACATTTCTGGAGTATCTTTAAACTTCTCGTCCAAAGCCCGCCTGTAGGGGGACATGCCCGACCTAACCCTGGCACCCGTGCCATGCCCCGCGCCGCAGCGGCCGCCCCGGCGCGGCCGCTGCCCGCCCGCCGCGGCGGGTTTCGGGGGGGGATGGGGTGGCAGCGGCTCTTGGAGGAGGCGCCCCTACCGGGGCAGAGAGCATCGGGGGAAGGGCGACCGCCACCACCATCGCCACCACCACCACCACTGTCACCACCACCACCGCCGCCACCACCACCACCACCATCACCACTACCACCACCACCACCACCACCACCACCACCACCACCACCACCACCACCACCACCACCACCGGCACCACCACCACCACCACCACCACCACCACCACCACACCACCACCACCACCACCACCACCACCACCACCACCACCACCACCACCACCACCACCACCACCACCACCACCACCACCACCACCACCACCACCACCACCACCACCACCACCACCACCAGGGGGGGTCACCTCCAGCTCGAGGAGGTCCACCGTGCCCCCCCGAGCTGGGGACGGGGGACGTCTCGAGCGAGAGCTGGGAAACCACGCCACCGGGGGGGACCCCCCTGGCTCCTCCCACTGGCAGGGCCCCTAGTGGTGTTGGTGTCGCTTTGCCATGCTCCCACGAGGAGCGGGGATGCGAGCAGAGGAGGGGCAGCGAGGCGGATGGCGCGCACCGACGTGGGAGGCGCGGCGGCCAAAGGCCGACAGTCCTCTCCACGCGCACGGCTCGTGAGCGAACCGCTGGGATCACCCGAGCGGCTCGCCCTGGCGGGGCGCGAGAGGAACGGAAGGAGAGGCGGGAGGAGCA